ACACACACACACGCGCGCGCGCACACACACACACACACACACACACACACACACACACACACAAGATAAATTTTACATTCTTTTTTCCTGGTGCTAATCTTGCCAGAGCAAACCACAGATCATTTATTCTTGATTTGCTGTTTTAGCATTCAGTTCTTTGAACTGTAGGTTGTATTTCCAAGCTAGAGCATCAGCTTTTCAAGAGAACGAGAGATGGGTTTCTTATTTATTTAACAAACATTCATTAAACACCTGTTATGTGGCAGGCACTGTTCTAGGTGCTGAAGATAACAAGGTAGATGCTGTCTTTGACCTCGAGGAACTTTTATTTTGGTCAGGGAGGTGGGCAGTAGCAAATATGGCCGCAGAATGAAGTAAGTGTGGCTGATATGTGATAAGCCCTTCCAAGGAGGAGAGTAGGGAATGCATCTGTAGGGGCGGCTCGAACCCCGTGGTGTGCAGTTAAGTGTTCGGCAGCTGGTTCTCTGGGGAGAAAAGAAGCCCTGATTTGTGGCATTTGCCTATTTCTGTGGTATAAACTATCCCACCATGGCTGGTTTCAAGCTACTCACATGACGCCTCTTTATGTGGATTCAGGCAGAGATGTGTAGAGTCGGCTTTTGAGCCAGGGGTACCCTGCTCCTCACATCACTGGTCTGTCAGGTTAGAGTTCAGAACTAAGAAGGCCATCCACCTCCTAGACTGTTCTGAGGAGTGAGTGAGGTGGAATCCATATGGGTTGCTTGAAGCAATACCTGTTTTAAATAAGTGCCCATCCACGTAATCTTCCATCATTATTATTATTGTGCTATTTAGCATCATAATTGCTCAATAGTGATTTGGACTGTTTTTTAAAGAGCAATTTGGAAGCCACTGATCAAAATTTTATTTTAAAATCCCTCCAGATGCCAAGTGGAGACTGCTTGGAGGGTTGGCAGGAAGCTAAGTGGGGCCGAGTGGGTGGTTGTAGCAATTGCATAGGTGAGGGATGCGGGGGCTTAGATGGTCGTGGTGGTGGTCAGTGAACAGATGCAGCTCTGTTCTAGAGGTGGAATGGAGGAACTTATTGATAGCCTTTATATATGCGGTATAGGAAAGTGAGGTGACAAAGATGGTGACATTTAATGTTTCCTTGATTGAAGTTGGGATGACTAGAGAGGGGGCAGAATTAGGGGTGGCCAGATCAAGCCTTTCTCTCGCACCTGATGGAAAATTGGAGATGCCTGCGGGACAGCAAGTAGGCGTTGCTGAATGGGCAGCTGCTATGAGTCTGGAGTCCAGGTGAGGGCTGGAGAGCCTTCTTTGGGCGTCGTCAGTGTAGAGGTGGAACTTTGGACGGTGGGGCTAGATGAGCTCACCTCGCTGGGAATGTAGATAGAGGCAGGGGCCAGGCCCAGGCCTAAGGGACGCAGATGTAAATGGCAAGTAGACCTCGTCACTGAACTCAGGGAAGGACGATAGGGAGCAGCTGTCAGAACACTGCCATGCCTTTTGAGTAGTTGGTTAGGGAACCTTCGCCTCAGTTTTTCATTCATTCCTTTCTCATTGAATACTTTCTATGGGCAGATTGTACTAAGAGTTACGGGTAACAGAGAAACACTTCAGGCCTAGTCCTTGCCCTTGAGGCTTTAGAATTTAAGTATTCAGATAAGCGAAGCAGATGAATGAGCTAAAAAGAATGACAAAATAAAGCTTCCAGGTTTTTTTTGGTTTTTGTTTTGAGTTGGAGTCTCACTCTCGCCCAGACTGGAGTGCCGTGGCCCCTCCTGGCCACCGCAGCCTCGACCTGCTGGGCGCCCGCGATCCTTCCCCCTCCGCCTTCCGAGTAGCCGGAATTACAGGCATGCGCAACCACGCCCGGCTGATTTTTTTATTTATTATAGAGATGAGGTCTCGCTGCCCAGCTGGGTCTCGAACCCGCGGGCTCAGGCAATTCACTCACCTCAGCCTCCCAAAGGCGCGTGATTACAGGCTGAGCCACTGAGCCCGGCAAACTTCCAGTTTTATGACTCAAAGCTAAAGGAAGAATGATTAAGGGAATGAGTGTGGTAGGGTTGAGTCAGTGAAGGACCTGGATTGGGAGGCGAAGCTCAGCCCGAGCTGGAACAGATGCTTGTTTGTTGTGGCGAGTGCGCTCTGGGGGCAGAGATGCTGCGTTATTTAAAATGTAGCTCTCGCCGGGCTCGATGACTCAGCCTGGAATCCCGCGCCTTTGGGAGGCTGAGGTGAGTGGATTGCCTGAGCCCGCGGGTTCGAGACCCGCCTGGGCAGGCGAGACCTCATCTCTACAATAAATCAAAAAATTTAGCCAGGTGTGGTAGCGTGCACCTGTAGTTCTAGCTACTTGGAAGGCCGAGTTGGAAGGATCGCCGGAGCAGGTTGAGGCTGCGGTGGCTGGGAGCAGCCACTGCACTCCAGTCTGGGTGACAGTGAGACTCCAACTCAAAAAAAAAAAAAATGTAGATCTCTGTCTATCCGCCATTTGCTGACCGTTACAGGGGGACAGTAAAGTGACTTGCTTGGCTGGGGTGAATGTTTCAACCTGGAGGGAATGAGGCCTTGCTTAGAAAAGGGTGAGTTTAGGGGCACGCGACAATCTGGACTTTGTTGTTTGTAGGAACTTAATCAGAGGAAGGAGATGAAGGTAGTATTTAGGAAACATTAAATCTTAATCATTTTTGACTGCTTTTTAAAACTGTGGACAGTATATCAAGTTAGGGGGTGTAGATTCCGAATTTATATTCTTCTTCTTCCTCTTTTTGTTTTCTTGAGCTGGAGTCTCACTCTATCAACCAGGCTGGATGGAGTGCAGTGGCACCCTCATGGCCACTGCAGCCTCGACCTGCTGGCGTTAAGCAATCCTTCCCCTCAGCCTTCCAAGTAGCTAGAACTATAGGCGTGATCTTATTTTTTTGATTTATTGTAGAGACGAGATCTTGCCAAGTTGCCCTGACTGGTCTCAAATCCCTGAGCTTAGGCAATCCTCTCACCTCTGCCTTCCAAACTGATGGGATTACAGGCTTGAGCCACCGTGTCCAACCCCCCCACTTTTTTTTTTTTTTTTTAGCTCTTGTGATTGACTCTCCTCTGTGATGAGTGCTGCCTCTTTTTTTTTTTTTTTTTGAGTCGGATTCTCACTATGTCGCCCAGGCTGCAGTAGCATGCTCACGGCCACCACAGCTTTGACCTTCTGGGCTCAGGTGATCCTTCTGCCTCAGCCTTCCAAGTAGCTGGAACCACAGGCATGTGCCACTACCCCTGGCTAATTTTTTAAAAAATTTATTGTAGAGACGAGATGTCACCATGTTGCTCAGGCTGGTCTCGAACCCCTAAGCTCAGGCAGTCATCTTGCCTCCACCTCCCAAAGTGCTGAGATTACAGGCTTGAACCACTGCGCCCAGCCACTTCAGTCTCTTAAGTAGCTGAGACTACAGTCATGCACCATTATTGATTTTTTTTTGTAGAGATGAGGTCTCACTATGTTGCCCAGCCTGGTCTCGAACTCCTGTACTCAAGCAACTCCCTCCCCTTGGCCTCCCAAAGTTCTTAGATTACAGGTGTGAGCCACCGTGCCTGGCCTGGAATTTATCTTCTATATGTCACACTTATTAACCCTTGTGATTTAACCTCCCTGGGTCTCATTTTCTTTTGCTTTCTTTCTGTTTTGAAAATTTTTTTTTTTTTTGAGTTGGAGTCTCATTCTGTTGCCCAGGTTGGAGTGCAGTGGCGTGATCACAGCTACTGCAGCCTCGACCTGCTGGACTCGACCTTCTGCCTCAGCCTCCCGAGTAGGTGGGACTACAGGCATGCACCATCATGCCTAATTGTTTTAATTTTATTGTAGAGACAAAATCTTACTGTCTTTCCCAAGCTGGTCTCAAACTCCTGGACTCAGGCTATCCTCTCACCTCAGCCTCCCAAAGTGCTAGGATTACAGGCGTGAGCCACTGCACCTGGCCATCTCATTTTCTTATATGTAAAATGTAGATATTAATAGTGCTGACCTCATAGCACTATGTCTGGTACACAGTAAGCTCTCTGTTACTACTATTATTCATAATAGCCTGTTTAAAATAGTGGGAAAATGAGTAGGTGGTGCTAACTTTTTTTGGATAAATGCCATAAAATTTAGTAGTCACAAGTTGCTTTGTGTTCTCTTGTATTATAAATTTGTGTTTATACCTCTCTTAAGTCATCCTTGAGAGCTAATTTGACACAAAGTCTTACTTATATATAGTCTCATCAAAGGTTTCATACTTTCCTGCTGTTTTGGTAAATACTGGGCAGGAAGCATTTTATTTAAATATTTACTGATTTAGAAATCATTTCTTCTGCTTCTCTTTGTTTACTCAATTACAGTGTAGTTAGAAGACAGCAGCTGTAGATGTTATGAGGTGTGAAGCATTTAAAAGATACAGTCAATCATCAAGTGTTGTATTTAAAAAGTTGAAGGGTCTATGATGTGTGAGGCATCTGCGGACTGTGAAGAGGAGTAAATGTGGCCTCTGCTCATTTAGGGACACTCAATTCTGAGACTGTTATAGAATACCTGAGAGTCCACCTTTTAAGAACCGTTTCCCAAGGGCTTGGTGTTTTCCTCAGACAGGACATCAGAATTCAGATTGCAGGAACTTAGTCCTCACTCATAAAATGAACACATTCTATTTTTTTAAGGTTTTTTTTTTTTTGTCTGACCTTATAGTCTTTTAAAATGACAAGTCACAGTATATCTATATCTGAAGTCACAAGCCATCTAATGGAGACTACTAATAACTAGAGTGAGCTGGTGCTTCACTCATGGCACTTGAAATTGACAGAATCATAGCCCTTGCTACAGAACCATTGTATCAGTTCTCATTTTTACTCATGGTATTCAAGCTGTTTATAAAACAAGGATAATACTGTTTGCCAGGGCTGTTATGAGGGCCAAATAAGATGATGTTGTATGTCTTGGAAGTAAAGGTGCTGTTTTCCTTAGATTAGAGAAGATACTTGGGGTTGAAGACATTTAATTATTTTCCTTGTTCTGATTATTTTAGTGTGCTTTACTTTGTAGAAAGTCTGGAGTAACTGACCACTATGCTTTGGATGACCACCATGCCCTTCACCTAACTAGGAAGATTGTGAGGAGTCTAAATTATCAGAAGAAATTGGATGTGAGTAGGATATATTCTTATTATTCCTATATCTTTTATTTTCCTGAAAAGTATTTTGACTCATGTCACTTTGAAATCATGTCTTTAAATAGGTTAATACTATTGTTCTTTATTTCTGCAGGTTACCATTGAACCTTCTGAAGATCCTTTATTTCCTGCTGATGAATTGTATGGGATAGTTGGTACCAACCTTAAAAGGAACTTTGATATTCGAGAGGTATGTGAAAATGGAACTGTGAGCTATAAACCAGCTCAAAATGTGTATCCATTTTCAATGCTGAAGTTTGTTAAGATCCATTTTAGGGGACTGATGGGGGGCTCGGTTAGGAGTGATACATTTGGGAATGGCAGCTTTTTGTAGTGTAGGTATCATTGGTGCACAGGAAATGCTAAAAGAGAGAGGGAACCTCTTAATGACTGGAAGTTTCGTCATGACAAAGCGTGATTTATTCATCAACATGACTCCGCATTCCTGCGGACATTTAGGAATGAGGTACGGCAACTTCACCATTTTCAACTGTTCCTTTTCACTGTTCTTATTTTGGGAAGTGGATGAAATAAATGTCAGTGAATTATTGGGAGAAAAAACACACCCTTTTAGATCAGTATGACATTAGCAAAGATTAGACCTGGTTATAGTTGAGAATGTTGCTATGGTTACACATTTTCGACATAGTCTTCTGTAATTTCAATGGACAACTTTTAGTGTTTGCATAGAGCATGTAGCCTTTTATTTTGTTCAGTATCCATAGCTGGCAAAATAGTTTTTAAATTAGGAAATTATCTGAATATCAGATTCAGTGCTAGAAGTTTTAATATTTTATGTTATTTTCCTCCTTGACTATAAAACCATTATTAGTATTAGTTCTGGAAAATGTAGAATATACAGAAAAGAAAAAAATAAAATTGCTTGTAATTTCACCATCTAGAGAAGGCAACTGGTATTTTGATGTTTTGGCTTAATGTATATGTATACTTTTTTTTTTCTGAGTTGGAGTCTCACACTGTTGCCCATTCTGGAGTGCAGTGGCACACTCACGGCCACCGCAGCCTCAACCTGCTGGGCTCCAGCGATCCTTCCGCCTCAACCTTTCAAGTAACTGGAACCACCATGCCAGGCTATTTTTTTTTTTTACTGTAAAAATTGCTCAGGCTGGTCTTAAACCTGTGGACTCAGGCAAACCTCTCACCTTGGCCTCCCAAAGTGCTGAGATTATAGGCGTGAGCCACCACGCCCGGCCATATACATTTTTGTGTAGTTGAGATTGTGTGTGTATGTGTGTTTAGTTTTTAAAACATTCTGGTTTTTTGCCAGTTTAAATTATAAACATCTTGCTGTGTCTTTAAAAGTTCTTCATGAGGCTGGGCTCAGTGACTCAGCCTATAATCCCAGCGCTTTGGGAGGCTGAGGCGAGTAGATTGCCTGAGCCTAAGGGTTCTAGACCAGCCTGGGCAACTTGGCAAGACCTTGTCTCTACAGTAAAATTAAAAAATTAGATAGGCATAGTAGTGTGCACCTGTAGTTTCGGCTACTTGGAAAGCTGAGGCGGAAGGATCACCGGAGCCCAGCAGGTCAACACTGTGGTGGCCGTGAATGTGCCACTGCACTCTAGTCTGGGCAACAGAGGAGACTCCAACTCAAAATAAAAAAAGTTCTTACTTTTTCTACATTTTCTACAGCTATGTCTTGCTTAATTGCTGTAATAGTGCTTGACAACAAGGTTGTCACTCACTGCCTATTTTTTGAATGAACTGATGAATGTAGTATTCAGTTGTATGGTGTGTACAATTATTTATTTAGGCAGTATCCTATTATTGCTAGAGTCTTACATCTGGATTTTATGGAGCTTCATTCTATGTTGGTAAGGTGACATAGTTAACTGTAAATTTGTGAGTTAGGATTTTAGCTTGACTTTTGATTAATTATAGGCACAGAAAAAAAATTGTACTAACACTCTGATACACTTGAAAAATGAGTTTTTCCAGGTAACCATGCTTTCTAGATGACTGAGAATTCATTCTTTTTAGCATAACCATGTTTTGATTTACCCAACGTATTTGTTGAGTATGTGTTCTATGCAGGTGTTGTTTCAGGTGCCAGGAATACAGAGGTGAACAAAACAGAGACAAGTATATGCTTTCCTGTTGTTTCCATTTCATTTTAATAGAAAATTTTTTTTTTTTTGAGTTGGAGTCTCACTCTGTCGCCCAGGCTGGAGTGCAGTGGCACATTTCTGACCACTGCAGCCTCGACCTGCTGGGCTCCGGTGATCCTTCTGCCTCAGCCTTCCAAGTAGCTGGAACTACAGACACGCACTACCATGCCCGGCTAATTTTTGACTTATTTTAGAGATGAGGTCTCACCAAGTTGCCCAGTCAGGTCTCGAACCCTTGGGCTCAGGCAATCCACTCACCTTGGCCTCCCAAAGCGTGGGATTACAGACTGAGCCACTGAGCCCAGCCTAGAAATATTTTTTAAAAAAATACTTTTGCCTTCTTAAATATTAACCTGGACTTCTGTTTTCTGCTTATTCATCCTCATCATTGTGAATATAATTTATATTTTCCATCGTAGCAAAAAAACCTTGTGTGGAGGTCTTACTAGTGTTTGGAGCTGTGGGATGGTACTGACATCTGAGCTGGGTGCCAGTCCTCACTCCCCCAGTCATAGTGCTGGGATTTAACCTCTCTGAACAGCAGTTTGTACTTCTAGAAACAGGAGTAGTGCCATATTATTTGTCTGCTGCCTGAAGCTTGGAGTTTTTGTGAAGACAAGTTAATATATTTTATGTGGCACAGTGGTGTTAATTGTAAAGCAGATATGAGGTAATTTTAATGAAATGGCCTAGATCAGTGGTCCCCAGCCCTTTTGGTTTCAGGGTAGACAGTTTCTCCATGGATTGGGAGGATGGGGGGATACACCGTCAAACCTCACTGCTAGCGGCTGTATTTGCGTCCTCTTCCCAGCGCTAGCATCACCGCCTCAGCTCCACCCCAGATCATCAGGCATTAGATTCTCATAAGGAGCTCACAACCTAGATCCCTCGCATGTGCAGTTCACAATAGGGTTTGTGCTCCTATGAGAATCTAATGCCGCCAATTATCTGACAGAAGATGGAGCTCTGGCAGTTGTGTAAGCAATGAGGAGTGGCTGTAAATACGGATGAAACTTTGCTTGCTCACCCGGCTGTGCAGCCCGGTTCCTAACAGGCCATGGAGTCCGTGGCCTGGGTATTGGGAACCCTGCCCTAGATTGCAGCCTTTTGAGCAGCTTTCTCTTCATGTGGAAGAATGAGAGTTATGTGTTGATTGCTGGTTAAAAGGTACATTTTGAGAGGTATGTAGCACCTAAAACAGATAATTGTTATATTCCCATTATATTATTGAGTCTTTTAGGAAAATAACTAAAAAGAATTCAAAGTTAGCTTTTACTTTATGAAGAGAAAGATGTTGGAAAACACCTGCCCTTTTTTCAGCCTTTGTATCTTAAAAAAAAGACTTTGGTTGATGTGGTAAACATAAAAAGGGAAGCGTAAACTATGTAAAACTGATGTCATCATCTACAATAGTTTCTGAACTTTAGAGTTTGTTTCACATTTGGAACTTTTTGAAATAGTCCTGGTATATAGTGATAAGTCCCAAGGATAAACAATTTAATAACTTCTACTCCTTTCGTTATTTATTTACTTGAGTTAGGGTCTTACTCTGTCACCCAGGCTGGAGTGCAGTGGCATGATGACCACCCACCACAGCCTTGACCTCTTGGGCTCAGGTGATCCTTCTGTCTCAGCCTCTTGAGTATCTGGGACTATAGGCATGCGCTAATTTTGAAATTTTTTTGTAGAGACAAGGTCTCACTATGTTGCCTAGGCTGGTCTTGAACTCCTGGGTTCAAGCAGTCCTTCCACCTTGGCTTCCCAAAGTGCTGGAATTATAGGCATGAGCCACCGCATCTGGCTCTACTCCTTATAGATTAACAATACATATATGTGTATGATCCTTCAAGTATACCAGATTCAGAATCCATGAATCGTTATTAAGGGCTTAATAATAATAATGGCTATCTTCAAATGAGAGCCAGGCAGTATGCTTTAGTTAACCCTTTTTAAGTGTTGTTATTATTTTTTAAACAAATGAGAAAACTGAGGCTTAGAGGATTTTAGGTAACCAACTCTAGTTTCTGTGGGAGAGCTGGGAGTCAGAGCTGGCTCTTCACCTCAGCATTATTTTCTTGGGTTTCTTTACTACGAGTACATCATGTCTTCACTGCTTCGTTTCATCATTTCAGAAGTGACAACTGTGACTCAGAGGGGTGAAATGACTTACTCCAGGACACAAATCATCTGTGAAACAGATGGAGCCTGTGTCTTCTGACTCTAAGCCTCGTCTATACTCTGCTTTCTGATGAGCCCCAGAACCTTCACCGATACATTTGAACAGTCCCTGCAGCTCTAAGTTTAGCAGCCAGCCCTTGGAGTCTCTTCTGCCCTCTTGCATGCAACATGGTGCTATTGCTTTATGGAGAGGTTGTGAAATCAGAGCCCAGAATGACTTTGGGGCATGAACCAGGCACGTCAAGTGAAATTCTAGTGAGAAGATTTTCTGTGTAGGGTGAAAATTTGTGAAATTGCCAACTTCGCTGTATATTGTTTTCCTTATAAATAAATAATAGCTGGGCTCGGTGGCTCAGCCTGTAATCCCAGCGTTTTGGGAGGCCGAGGTGAGTGGATTGCCTGAGCCCGAGGGTTTGAGACCCGCCCGGGCAACTTGGTGAGACCTCATCTCTACAATAAATCAAAAAAT